GTACTCTGCTGAGGAAATACCCTTGCTAGTGAAATGAGATCTGCTGGAGAATATGAGCTTTGCTGGAGAACGAGAATTCTCCAGGGGATTTTACAGCATTGGAGAAATAATCTCAGTTGGGGAAGAGAATTTCCATAAACTGTACTGATGCCATAGTCCCTGGTGGAGATTGAGACTCCGTAGATTGGCGACATTGTCGGGGAAAATATTATATTCCCTTATCCGCTAGGGGATCTGCTGGTGAAATATATCTTCATTGAAGATGAGCTTGTTAAGACTATTATGTGGGGATAATCCCATGAAAGTTGTTCGGCGGGGATATGTGGATGACTTGAACATTATCCCAACTCCTAGAGTCTTGAGCAAACCCTTATTCCTATTTTTATGCATATACTTGTTAAGAGTAATTATATTCATATGCATATGTTCATTCAATTTATTCATGGGACGTTTTTGAAAACAAAACAGAAATAGGTAAATCAAACATTTGAATTTTGATTTTTGTATTTCTATTGATAGTTTTGCCCATAAACAAGCAATTTTGTACAAAGAGACAGAAATCCTAGTAAGAGGAAATCGTTGTGAAATGAAAAGAGTACAAAGTGAAAACAAAACATATAGCTATTGTGGAAATGATCTCGTCGGGTTTCAACTCTGCTATCGCCTCATATGTCTTCAAGCATCCCATCACTTGTTGTCGGAAGAAGTTGATTGAATTGATTTATACCGTTTGAACTTGACATCGGTAATAGAGCTCGTTGTAAGTGATCCAACGGAACATAGTCGTACGCTTTAATCCCTAACTTTTGCCTGGACCGCCCTTTCGGGTTTTTAGTCCACCGGGATACCATTTTTTGCCCAAGCCACCTTTTCAGGTTTTTTACTTGTCGGGTGTACACTTTATATATATATATATATATATATATATATATATATATATATATATATATATATATATATATATATATATATATATATATATATATATATATATATATATATATATATATATATATATATATATATATATATCCCTAATTTTTGCCCGAATCCTTTTGGTTCTCCGGGATGCCCTTATTTTTTCCTAGGCCAGTCAACCTAGTGGGTCACTTTTTCACGCGTAGTATTTTTTTACTATGTCCGCGTTCATAGGGTGCGAGAAATCTCTTTGATATGATAGATATACTTTGTTGTGATGATTGTTAATTACTCTAATGGATGGTTAATCTCTTCAATATGATAAAAATAGTTCATTTTGAAGATGTTGTTTACTCCAATGGATGGTTAATCTCTTCGATATGATAGAGATAATTCATTGTGAAGATGTTGTTTACTCCAATGTATAGTTAATCTCTTCGATATGATAGAGATAGTTCCTTGAGAAGTCCTTATAACAAGTAGTTACCCTTTTAGAAGCTTATTTATTACCATTTTCAAGTGGAAAACTTGATTAAAGAAGAAACGAAGACCCGTTCGTCATGGAGAAGTTTATTGTTACCCTTTTCAAGTGGAAGACTTGATTAAAGAAGAAACCGAGACTCGTTCGTCGTGGGGAAGTTTATTATTACCCTTTTCAAGTGGAAGACTTTATTAAATAATAAATTGAGACCCGTTCGTCGTGGGGATGTTTATTGTTACCCTTTTCAAGTGGAAAACTTGATAGAAGAAGAAACCGAGATCGGCTCGTCATGTGGAATTTTACTGTTATCCTTTTCAAGTAGAAGACTTGATTAAAAAGAAGAACATGAAATCCATTTTGGAAACTTAGTCTATCTTCATATGCTTTTCCTCAGTAGAGTTGAGTTCTCTTTTCTCCAGCAAAGTTAAGTTAACCTTTCCCCAGCGGAGTTGAACCCCTTCTTCTAAATTGTACTAGGGTGTTTCTCTTATTTATCCCCTAATTGGTTGTGTTTCTATTGCATTCATACCATATCATAAAACATTTTTGTAGCATCTTAGGGATAAAAATTTGTGTTTATTTTTGTATTTAAGTATCTCCTATCGCATCAAGATAAAGATTTCAATCTTCATATCTCTGGATAGAAGAAAATTAAATAGGGGCATCTGTTGTACCCTACTTTTTTACCTAAGATCCTATCTCATTTTGCATCATTTAGAAAATCATATCATTCATGTTTACATCACTAACCTTGAAGAAATACAAGATATGCTCTACTTGTTTATTGTTTAAGCAAGATAGGAGTTCAAGAGATTGATAAATCAATGGTCTTAAGAGATTCGAGCTCCTCATGCATCCATGATGATCAAGTAATCATCATCTTCATCACCCAGGAAAATCAAGAAAAAATGTTTCAAAATATCTTGAGGACTCATGTTTACTAGAGGACTATTTTCCACAAAAATACAAAAGGTGGAAGATTCACGTTTACTAGAGGACTCTTTCCCATAAGAAAACAAAAATATGATGTCATCATGACATCATCATTACATCATCAATATGATGTCATCATGACATCATCATGACATCATCAATATTATGTCATCATGACATCATCAATATAATGACATCATGACAGCATCACCCAAGAAAAGTAACTAAAGGATTTGGCCATACTAAGAGATCTAGAGAACTCGTTTCACTAAAAAGATAAATTTCACTATTTGCAAGTACAAATGATGTTATCACTTTATCAATGATTTGACATAAAGCTTATTGACACATCAAATCTTGTCTTTACCATAATGGAAGGTCGATGACTCGTTTTAATAAAGAAATGGATAATAACATGTGACAAAATTCCAAGGACTCTTCACTGTTACTCTTGCTTATAAATACAAGCTTTTTCTTCAGGGAAAGGGAGAGAAAATTTTCACTTAGGAGATTGCACTAGAAAAGAAAACAAGAGTAAAAACACCACTTTCACCACCACCTCCATCAAAACAACTTCATTTCCTTCAGCACAACAAGTTCAACCTTTGCTAGCTTTGAAGTTTATAAGTATCATTCATCCTTATTTTTGTTCATACCAATGTAGCTAATTGTTTTGTTTATATTGTTTCATTTTTATTTTTACTATCTTTACTAATTGTTTTGTTTATATTGTTTCATGTTATTATTTTACCAATTGTTTTGTTTATATTGTTTTGTTTTATTTTACTATTTTACTAATTGTTAATCAAATTTGTTAATTGTTTTTATCAATTTGTTTTCAACATTTTTTTCTTCAATTTTCCAATAGACTTTATATGAGCAAATCAACTCCTTTTGGTTTGATTTTTTACATACTTCTTTATTTTTCTATATTTTGTCTATCCATGAAAAAACTTCAAAAATATTTTTATTTTTGACTATTTTTATATAGTGGAAACCCGTGTCTTTTGTTGTTCTTTTAACATATTAAAACACTAAAAATATTTTATTTTTTATTTATTCAAAACTTTGATTTTATTTTATATCTTTGTTTAACATATTAGTTATTTAAAAATACCAAAAAATAGTTTCTTTTGTTTTAGTTTGATTAAAGTCTTAGTGTTTTCTTTAAAACTTTTGGGAATTTCTTTTTTTCTTCTCAAATGACTCTTTTAAAAGTCATGCTACTTTGTGACATTATACTCTCATTTGTGATGTGTGTTTACCCCATTTTTTAGTGATTAATGTCTATACTTTATTGTGTTAATGTTTGTAAGTCCAAGGAAAAGAGATAGTTTTTGTTGACTTTGTACTCATATGCATATATGCATATGCATTGTTCGTTTTTAGGTTTGCCCTTTATATAAAAAAATCTCTTGCGAAAATTCACCATGTGTATTCTCATTATTCTAAAAACCTTTTAATCCAAAAAAAAATCAATTTTTAAACTTGAACCACTTTCATATAAAAACTTTGAATTCGTGTCATTGCATTTTCAAACTTTCTTTTTACTCAAATGTTTCAATATACTTAAGCATATCAAAACAATTTTAAAAGACTAAAAATGATTCAACCTTCATAGAAATTGTTGAAGTAAGTGTTATTCTTTCCACATGAAGATGTTAAATGGCATCTTGTTGATCTTTATATCCAAGTTAGTAGCTTTTCCTTCATGGTGATACAAGATTCATCTTCTCATACTTGTAATTGTATTAGTTGAGCTTTCTCTCTAAAAGATGATGAAATATCTTTTTCTCCTAAAATCAACCACAACAAACCATTTTATTATTTTTTTTTACGAACTACGATATTTTGATTCTTAATTGATACATATGTATAAGACTATGTCTTTCCAAACAAAAATATAATAAAAAATATTTTTTCCCCATCTCCCACATTCATTTAGCAAACAAACAATTTTAAACTAAAAACATATATTCTAATATTATAAGTAGTTCCTATAGAGTACTATAGATACATAAGGTGTTAATACATTTCGTTTGTATAATCTTCTGTGTGCAAATTTCTCAATAGTTTAGCCTCCTTAATTTTTCACCGCGACAATAATCTTATATCGTTGAAATCTAACACCATAGACCAAAGTGACTAATGAAACATAGAATCAAAGTTTTTTTTCGCTTCAGTGAAGGATTGAGAGCCGATGTCCACTAGAATATCACATCTTAATTTGTACCATAAAAAAAAAAATCACATCTCAATTCTGCAGTTTCATATATGTTTCCCCATGCACATGTTCAATATTATAAATGTGCAAGTAGTATTGAATCAAAACATGTATTTAACAGGAGTACATGAATACGAACTTGAATAAATACAAGTATGTTTTACTAACAATAAAACTTACTACTAGACAAATTATGGAAAAATAATAACTCATTTTTTTTATGAATTAAGGTCCAAAGGAACAAACTAAAAGCCTCTAGAAAACCAGACTCGAGCAGAGTCTCCTAAGAGATCGAGGCACAGAAGTCGAAAAATCAGGAAGACAATAAAAAATATTAACCCTGAAGAATATTACTCCATCAAATCATGCTGTGGTAAGAGGTTAATTGAGGTCATTGCAGGTTAAAGGCTTTACACAGTTCATTATTCTTGTTTCAGTTACTGTTTAGTCAAAGGAGCCTTCTTCATCAAGCCAAATATCAACTAAGAAATCTACCATCTCCTGCATCGGCCACAAATCCATCGAAATTAGAATCAGTACACGAAAGAAATATGCAGTGTTCTACCTCGTAAAGCTTAGTGTTGCCAAATTGCACCTATAGTGGCGCTATAGCTTGACATTGTTTTAGCAACACTATAGCACTCAAGTATAAAATGTATAAACATATACATTTTAATGCATTGCTTGTATTCTTTTAGACAAGGTTATTGAAATCTTACAGGCAATGGTATGCGCTCCGCAAAAGGTTCGCCAGTAGAAAGCAGATCTTCATATGATGTCGACCAGCTGAAATAAAATAAATCGGAATTGTTACCAATGATTGAACCTTATGCAAATGAAAAGAACAGGATCTAGGTTGACATATACCTAATAATTGGATCCTTAGGCGTTCTTGGGGAATTCTGAGACTTATCGCCGACCCACTTTTTTCTATTCTCGTGCCAAGCATTTGCGGCTGCATTCCATATTAGATTATAGACAACAGAATTAAAACTTTTAAAAATGAACGAGAGACAAAAAAATCAAGATAAAGAGTGATCAATCGTGCTAATGAAAGCTCACCGTGATTGACAAAAGTGGAAGTTTGTTTTAAATTTTGCTTCACATTGGAATGAAAATATCTATAGGTGTTTTCGCTTGATCTTTTAACTTCAATTGCAGATTTAGAATGCTTCAAAGTTTGTTTCCCATTGGAATGCGTAGTTTCAGCACAAACCTCCATTGCATCCAACAATAGTTCTAGAATGAATACTTATAATTATATCCTTCTAAAGATTAGAATTACCTCTCCAAGCTTTGTTACAGTTATTGCCGATTGAATGTCACAGGATTTGAAAAGTACGAATGCTTGTTAATCGTTGCAGCTGCATAATGAGAAAATCTGAAAGTTAAATTTATTTGCATGATATAATATGGTTGTACAAAAAGATATTACCAGAGAAATATATAGACATTTATTAATTGTAAAGATATGATAGAATCCGAATGTAACTAAGAGATTGTTGGGGAGGCCGGAAGAACTCTGAGGGTAACAACAAACCAATGCTCTATAAGATAGAAACACCACATGTCCACCCTTAACACATCAGGTAAATGAGTCACCTCTCTGATATATCCGACATTTTACCCAATTTGCTTCAACATTAGGATCCATCTCCCGCTCCCCATCGAATCGAACCAAGACTCTGATACCACTTGTTGGGGAATTAGGAAGAGTGTCAGGAGCAACATCGGACCAAGCAACATCTTCACTCGACATATTTAGACATTAGATATATGTTCTCTCCCTTACACATCCAAGATTTACCTCATTCGTAATCAATATGAGACTTAACCACTCAAACTTGAACTCTAAGGAAACATAAAATCGTGTAACAGACTTCTATAACAACTATGATTTAATTTCAAAATTAAATTTAAATTATCAGTAACCGAAAAATCAGTTGCACGAGATAAGATTAGACAGTGTTAATGTTATGTCAACAAACTAACATTGAGGCCCCTACTCGAATTTCATTAACTATTTTAACCAACTTTCTTCCAGATCTGAGATACAAAGAAAACTGCAAAAGAAATATATAGACCAATCAAGAAACAGCAGTGTCGGTTACAAATGCATAATAAAAAAACACAAACTTCATATAGAAAAACAATGAATGCCAACTTAAATGCACACAAGAACATAAAATACAAAGCAAAAAAACAAAGAAAATGCATAAACTTTTTCCAACAGTGAGTATTGCATTGCATTCACCAAAAACAAATTCAAAAACAATAACCCAATTGAGATCTGAATACAAATCAAGAAACAATCAAACAAAACACAATCAAAATTCAAAACAACAACAAAAAAATTAAGATTTCTTGATTATGTCTTCATGAAAAAAAAAACTTACATGTTTGACCCACTAGATGAATCGACGGAGAAACCGAAGAAAATAACTATTACAAAAAATGGGTTTTGGTCCAAACAAGCATTCACCATAAGAAACAGCAAAAGGTGCAATCTTTTTTCACTTCTGTGGGCGTGTAGCAACTTGCAAGATAAGTTGTCTGTAAAAAAGTGCTTTTTTGAATATTCGGTTTTTGGATTTTGGATAATTGAAGGGTTGTTGGACGGTAGAAACGTGTGATAATTGTAATATGTCTATATTACCCACTGCCAACCGTTTGTCATGGTGAAATGGATAAGGATAAAAAAGATTCTTGAGGGGCTTTTGGTCATTTTGGTTTGTGTAATAACAACCACATGCTTTTTGTTTTCTTTAACCACCGTTGGAACTTTTGCATCACATTGTGTGGTCCAATAAGGAAAATTATAATTTCAAATCAAGATAATTTAATTTTTAAACAATTAAAAAATTTATTACTTACCATAAAAAAATCGGATAAAGTTATCCATAACTTAAAATATACTGAAAATAATTAGAATTTTAATTGTTTAATGAATAATAAAATAGTACAATGAAAAAAGGAAAATTATATTTATTTTTTAAAAAATTTGTTAAACTGACACAAATATTTTTTTAAGAAAAAAGAATACACTAACAATATAAAATAATTATATACTCTTAACCAATCACGATCATATATTCTATTTAATTATTATAATTTTTTAAGTTAAATATATGATATAATTGATTAGTAAATTTTTATTACATCATTGCTACACTGGTTTTATTCTCATATTCTTTTTTTAATTTTAAAATATCATTAAAAAGTAGAACGAGTGTCGATTTTATTTTAATAAATTTTAAAAGAATTAATATATATTTTAAAATTAAAGAAAGTGTATGTATTATTTTAATAAATTTTAAAAAAATTGAATGTAATTTTCTCTAATAAGAAATAATTATAAATGAATAATTGAAGATACAATATATATATATATATATATATATATATATATATATATATATATATATATATATATATATATATATATATATATATATATATATATATATATATATATATATATATATATATATATATATATATATATATATATATATATATATATATATATATATATATATATATATATATATATATATATATATATATATATATATATATATATATATATATATATATATATATATATATATATATATATATATATATATATATATATATATATATATATATATATATATATATATATATATATATATATATATATATATGTCACCGCAAACAAAACATGTAAGAAAAGATTTGTTCCCTTATTATGGGGCTAAATTGCTTTTCATTTTAAAATGTATAAAATTCTACTTATCTTAATTTAAACGTTCACAAATCAAATCAAAATAATTGATTAGAAGGTGAAATATATAGAAATATTTAATCGAATCATTTTAAAATATTTAAACAAATATCTAAATGACTATAATGGAATTCAACTATACATTTTGTTGTTTTTATGTTAATTATACATATTGTTAATGTAAATTTTTTACATTAAGTAATTATAATTATTTTATAAAAATATTTATATCCGTTTTAATATAATAGTAGAATTTGAATCTGAAATTTTTAAATAAAAAATTGTGTTTTTTTTATCCTAGATCGAATTTTCAAAATAAAATTAATAACAAATTTTATTAAACATATGTAAAAAATAATGATTATATAGAGTATATATTTAAAATAAATTGAGTTTAATTTTTAACTAATGATATATATTTGCATAAATAATCTAAAATTAATTTTTATAAAAATATATTTGCATATAATATAGGGTGGCAAATTTATAAAGAATTAATTTTAGATTATTTATCTAAATATATACTATTGTTTAAAAATTAAACTCAGTTTATTCTACATATATAAACTGATCTGGACTGGATCTACACTTGCCCTTCGGATAGGAGGCCTAAATCATAAGGCTCAAAGAACACAAAATCCAAGTTGGGGACCGTTGGATAACTTCCCACATATTCGTTGGGGAACGTGACTCAAATTCTCATGTGAGTCATCTTAACTGTCCTCTGGGAATCACAGATCCAACCCCTATTCTCACAGAGCAATTGATCAGGGGGAGTCCATTTGCTGGACTCCATACACACGTAAGTCTTGGTAGTTCTCATTATTGGGTCTCAACGTGGCTCAATAATGGAGACCTTGACCCAGCGATGGGGGCTATAAATACTCTCTCTTTTGAGAGAGTCAAATATTCAACACTTTCTAACTCTCACGCTTGCTTGCTCATTCCGCTACTTACTTTGACATCAGAGTGTCTTGCAGGTACCCCCCCCCCATCTCACTCAGCTTCTGCTCGAGCTAGCTGTGACCGTCCATTCTGGTCAGGTACGATCAGTGGCGCCGTCTGTGGGGAACTTGCTTCCCCGTCTTCCGTTTACTCAAGACTAAAGCTAAATCACTCTTCCGACTGTCATAGTTGATCAAACAGCAGAAAACAACATGAACGTCCACATCCTCGACGTCAACAACAACGTCGCCAACAACAATGCTGGTACCGACAATGCTGGTACTACTGGCCACAACACGGCCCCCACCGTCAATATGCTTGGGCCTTTAGATTATAGAGACGAAGCGAATGCCTCGCCATCATCACTATCTCGACGACTTGAAGACGACCGACCACCTCTTTAGAACTACCAACCCAACCAGTTCCTGGAGGTCCCTGTTCCCGCCGGGGCAGATGCCACGACCAGGGCACTGTTCGCGGCGATAAACCAAACAAATTATCTGATATTCTCTCAAGGTGAGAGACTGAGGGCACTTGAAGATGCTCGGAGAGCCCCCATAAGACATATGAGGCCCCATTCTCCTCCTCCTCGCCAAGCAGAGGAACATCGCCAATCTCCCCCGCAGAGACATAGGCGGGACGCCTCGCGAAGTTCCTCTCCCCGACCTATCAGGCGGCACCCTGCATTGGAGAGGGACCAGCCCGTTGACACGGGGAAACGCGATCACATCCCCTCGCGTCAAGAACAAAGACCCCCTGGAGATAGAAGTAAGGGAAATAACGAACATCAGTACCGCCCGAGGAACGCTCCGCGCGACCAGGGTCACCCTAACCACCACTACAATAGATCTCCTTCTCGCTCGCCTGATAGAAGTGACGAAGACGACCTCCGCGGTCCCTTGTCGCAAGCTATCATGGAAGCATCCATCCCCCCGGGCATGGAGAAGCCTCCCCATCTAAAGGAGTACAACGACATTGCCGACCTGGTAGATCATATAGACGGGTTCGAGGCAATTTTCCATTATCATAATGTCGGGGGACCAATTAAATATCGACTGTTCCCCACAAATTTGAGGAAGGTTGCGATGGACCGGTACAAGAGTCTCGCCCTGGGGTTAATCACCTCCTGACGAAATCTAAAAAACCAATTCATCAGTTTGTTTACTACTTCACGTCGCCACCCAAAGACTGAAGCAGCCCTCGAGGCTATCATCCAGAGACACGACGAGACCCTAAGGAAATTTATTGATCGGTTCAACCGGGAAGCCATCCAGGTCCCCTGCACCGATCACATGAAGAGATACTTGCTCGAGAGGGGACTCCTCCCAGGCATAAAATTCAGAAAGGCTGTTGGCATTGAACCGCCCCGGACATTCGATGCCCTCCTCGATAAATCCAGAGTATACTACGAGGAGAGGGAAGCGGCCAATAGAGCCCGGAACCCCAGGAATCGTGGATCAACTAGTAATCCGCGATAAGACTCCGGCCTTCCTCGACGAACGAGCAAGAAGAGGAGGGGTAACAAACCTCGAGACCCCGTGAGCAAAGAGGACCCCCAGGGAGATTTACTGAGTACACTCCGCTAACGGCTTCCCACGAGCGCATTTTGGCAGAGTGTGCGAACACGGATTTCAAGGATGGCGGCGTCAAGCGTCCTTGCCCTGCTCTTGCTAAGCCCGGGGCAGATTTGAGCAAATACTGCCAATATCATCGCAGCCATGGACACTTAACTGAAGATTGTGTCCATCTCAAGGATTCTATTGAGACCCTCATAAAAGAGGGAATACTCGGGCTATATCTATGCAGTGACGCCCCCCCCCCCCCCCCCCCCCCCCCCCCGTCGAGATGCCCGTGAAACTAGGGAGACAGAGGAGGATGCCCGACCATCTGACGAGTCGGTTCCCATCCAAATCGCATTCTCTATTACGAGACTGAAGGACTTCTACATCCCCGGACGTATGGAAGAGCCTCTGTCCACGAACAATAGGTGAGAAAGCTTCCCTTCCGCCATGGTTATAAATGGTGGGGGTTTAATGACATAACCATAAATTCAGCAAAGAGGAAGCTAGACGATCTGGTCGACCCCCCCCCCCCCCCCCCAACAAACAGTGACCTTTGAGAGGGTAAAGGGAAGATCGGAACCAATCACCTTTTACCTTGAGGAATTTCCCGGAGGGGCCCCCAATTCAGCCATCCCTCTTCTGATCAGGGCAAGAATGGCTAACTTTGATGTTCATCGCATCCTGGTCGACGAGGGAAGTTCCGTCGACATGATGTACAACCAGCTTTTCAGAACCCTGCAGCTCGACGATTCTCACCTTTCACCATATGTGGGGTCCGACCTGCAAGGCTTCAATGGATCGTCTTCCAAGCCATGGGGATACGTAGAGATCATGGTCACCTTCAGCGAAGATACTGCCACCAGGCAGGTCAAGGTGCATTTCCTGGTCATCGACTGCTCGTCCCTCTACAACTGCATCCTTGGTAGACCAACATTGGCGGAGCTGACTGCGGTGCCATCCGCCATCCATCTGAAGATGAAGTTCTACACAAAGAGGGCACGCGTTACCACCATCCAGGGTGACCTAGCAGCTGCCCGAAGATGCTTCAATGTGGCGGCCAAGGGATAAAGTACAATCCACACCAAGGAACGGCCCGCCAAGAGAGCTACAATAACGCGACTAGAGCCATAGCAGTCAGAGCCACAACCCATCAAGGCAGAAGCGCAGAGGGCTCCTCCAAAGGTCGACTCAATCTCATTAGACACCCGC